CTTTTCGTATATATTTTTTATATCTGTTTTGAGCGATTCTCTGGATGTCATTTCTCCCTGGAATTTCTTTTGAGGAGAATTCTTCTGTTCTGTCATTTTGGCTAGGTTTCTGTCTTTTACGTGTGTTAAATGCTTGTTATGTGTCCTGCACCTGTGAGAACTACTGTATTATAAAGGGGTCATACACTGCCCAGGGCCTGGCACTTCAGGAAGTGTTTTTGTAGCATATTGCGTGCACTCTGTTGGCTGCTCTATCCCACTGGTCAGTATTCTACAAAGCTGCTTCTTACTTATAGTGGCGGATTGTTTAGACCTTCCACCAGATGTGCTTTGATTTGTTCATTGAAGTAAACCTGGAAGAAAGGAAAGGGCCAGGGACCTGATCCCATACAAAGAGAAAAATGAAAGGGGTGAAAAAGAGACCAAGCAGAGAGAATCAAAGAAACTGTAAGGTTTAATCCAGAGAGAGAGAGAAAGGAAAATAAAGGAAATATAGAAAAGGTGTGAAAAGAATAGAGTAAAAATGCCTGATAACAGAGACAAGCAAAGCACAGAAAGAAAGAATATATATTTTATATATAACATAAGAATTGACCAAAAATCAAATCAGAAACTTTGAGCCTGATTCCAAAGGGGGAAAAAAGAAAAGGGTAGAAAGAAAAAGAAGAGAAAAAAGAAGAGAAGGAAAGAAAAAAGAAAGAAAAGGAGCAACAGTCTAACACACAAAAACCACAGGACAGTTATCTGTTGGTGCCTGGGACTGGTGGTTGTGCTGATCTGGAGGAGAGGCCGTCTGGTTCTGTCTTTGTCAGTCTCACTCGACTAGATAAACAGTTGCCAGGCTCAGAGGGGTGGAGTTTGGTTGTAAGTGGGTCCCGCCTCCACTGGGGGCTGCTGTACTGCTCCCTGAAGCCCCACCCTGTTGATGATGGGGAGAAAAATAGCGACACCCCAATCTCTCCTCCTCAACCAGGGGGATTGCCCTGCTCCACAGTCTCCCGTGCCTCCTAGGCACTCAGCTGGGATTCAAAACCCCATGTTTTAAAGGATCCCACACTGCACAGACCCGGTTCTGGGGTAGCACCAATCTGCCCTCCAGATGTGGCAGGTGCCTGCAGGGTCTTTTGTCCTTGGGGGGCAATATACACTCTTTCCCCAGTACTCAAGGGAGGGCACTGTCCTCTCCCTGTGCACCCCTGAGGTCGCTCCCGTGCCCTGGGGCTAGCTCTCCTCTCTCCTCCCAAGGCATGCTCACACCGCTACAGCAGCTTCAGTCTGGAGAAAGTCATGCACTTTTGAAAACTCCGATCTTCAGCTCCTAAGGCTGTTTGCAAAGTAGAGACTGGCACCGATTATATTTCTCGTTCCCCAGTCCGTGGTCCCGAGAGATTTTTCTTTTGTCCCAACACAATACCGCAATCCACAGTCTCTCTCTCTCTCTCCCTTTTGTCTCTTCACAGAAGGGGATCCCTGCCCTCCATGCCCACTCTGTTTTATCTCCCCCAATTCGCATACAGGTACCTCTGTCCCGGCCAAGCTGTCACCCTCCACCTCTGGAGATTTTTCTGTCACTCCGAAGATAGATTTCCTGGGTGTTCCAAGTGTTCTGACCTTAATACAGCTAGGTTTGAGGGACAAGGGAAATCCTGGTCCCCCTACTTCTCTGCCATCTTCCTCCTCAGATTATTCTAGATTATTATTAAATAATTTTCCTTCAGATCACTTCAGATATAATAGATTATTTTGGAGTTTTTGACTTTTGCAGTGTTAATCTTTTGCTTTCTTTTTGACTTAACTTTATTGAAGTATGATTTGCATACAATTAAATGCATGCATTTTACATGTATAGTTTGATGAATTCTGATAAATATATATCTATATATATATAGATATATATTTATGTAAGCATCAACAAAATTGAGACTTTGACTATTTCTATTATTTAAAGATAGTTTTCCTATGCCCTTTTGCAGCAAGTTCATTCAATTTGTTCTGTTCTCTTTTTCAAACACATTGTTTATCTCGGTGTTGGATACCTCGATATACTATCTTGTCTGATCCAGTCATAATTCTGTCCCTTCACGTTGCATTCTATGTGATTTTCCTAAACTTGCTCTTCAGATCTTTGATTTGGTTTACTCCAATGTTTATTCTACTCTTCACAACTTTTAATATAATTTTAGGTTCTGCATTATCATTACTCACTACCTTAAAAATATTTTTATCTCTGAGGCGCCTGGGTGGCCCATTCGGTTATGTGCCTGACTCATAACTGATTTTGGCTCAGGTCATAATCTCAAGGTATGTGCACTGACAGCTCAGAGCCTGCTTGGGACTCTGTCTCTCCCTGATCCTCCTCCACTATCTCTCTCTCTCTCTCTCTCTCTCTGTCTGTCTCTCAAAATAAATAAATAAACTTAAAAAATGTTTTTAGCTCTCACAGCATCATTTCATTTTTGACATGTATCTTTTATATCTTCAAATCTTATTTCACAGAATCCCTTATGTTCTTTAATCTCTTAAACATCTAAAAATATTATTTTCTAAATTTCTCCTGTTTCATGGGGTACAATTTCTGTCAGAACATGACCATAGCTATCTTTAAATTATCTCCTTTATTTGCTACGTGATATTTAATAAGCCCCACATTCTTGTTTTTCCTACTCACCTTTGAATCCGGACACTTAAATCCAGGTTTGATCCTAGTCCAAATATAAAAGAAGTAAATTTCTTTGGCTACTCTCCCTGCTTATCTGGATACTGTTAAATTCTCCCCTTAGAAATTGACAGGCAAATCCACATGTTGTTACCTTGTAAGTTCAGGCATTCAGCTGCCTGAGCTGCCTGGTGAGGGAGCCGGAGCCCTGAAACATCATGGGGAAATTTGTGCCTGTGCACTGTATGTTTTGTGAAACCTCTTCATGACTCTAATGAGGTGGTGATGGTGACGGGTGATCTGGTGAAGTGCCACTTGGGTTAGAGTCCTTTACCTCTCTCTTGGGGTAAGCAATTCAGTTTGAGGAGACATTTAGTCAAAGAAAGGCCTCAAAGTTCTTAGAGTGTTTTATGGGATCATATATTTTTTTCTTTACACAGTTGTCTTTGTGGCTATTATTCACACTTGCAAAGATGGTTCCTAGGAAATTGCATCTTGTCTCTTCTGTTGTCAACTCCCCTTTCAAGACCTTGCTCCTCCAAGTTAGGAGGTTTTTCCCCCTGAGTCCATATGAAGCAATACTAGGAAGCCAAAGAAAGAAAGGGCTAAGTATGGTCATCACATTTCTCTAAAAACACTGCTAACACAGACTTGGACTGCTATTGACTTGCAGTGAGGAAAGGGATCCCAAAAGGGATCCATCTTTCTGTGACCCATCATTTTCTTTGAGTATTTGGGTGGTGGGGCTAGGGAGTGGTATTAAAAGAAGAATTTTCAGAATATCTTCTACTGGCTTTTTAAATACTCTTCTTTCTCTTAGGAAATGGAATTGTGAATCAACTTCTGGAATCTTCTTTCAAACTACTTCATGTTGTAATATGTAGCAGATTTCCTTTCAGTTTGAGATAAAATGTCTTAGTTTCAATTTAATGAATTTTTCTTGTCTATTTTTCTTCTTTTTGTTATTCATTTTGGCCAGGATAAATTTGTATTTATGTTGCCAACTTTCCCAGAAGTCTTAATTTGGGACTTTGATAAAAGAACTGTAATTTTTCTTCTGTAGAGAGACTCAAGAAATTTTATAAAGGGAAATTTGCTTTGCTGAAAGAGTAGAACAGTCTGCCCCGCTGTTAGGAAACACTTCAGAGGCGACTTATGTGGTAAACAGAGGACTGCCTACTTAATAGTCCCCTTTCTCCCTTTTATGCTGACAGAGCTCTGATTTTATTTATCTTTCTCCAAACAACCATGTCTTCCACAGGAGGCTGGGCTCCTTCCTCACCCAAGGGAGTGAATCTTTAAATGATCTAAGCCTGTGCTTTTAAAAATGTGAGCTATAACCCATCAATTTAGACACTAAATTAATTTAGCATACTTTGATCAACATTTTAAAAAACAAAATAGAACAGCATACAGTGTATTACATGTGTCCTTAGTAACAGCTGTACAAAACACTAAAATACTGCAATCAAATTCAACTAACAGAGAAAAAGACAATTAGGACACCATGAAGCTAAATCTTCTGCTCACTCTATATATCATATAATATATGTGAAATAGTTTATATATAATATATATATGTATACACCATGTTTAAAGCTAGAAAAACTTACCTAAGCTGATAATGATTTGTTGGTTAAAATATGGGGGCATTAAGCTATTCTAGTAAGGAGACACCAGGGAAGGTCTGCTGGAGGGCTTTGAGGAGCATTTTCCTCATTTTTACAAAGGAACCAAAGAGCTTTTCTCTTTTCAGTGGATGTTGTTAGCCATACAAGTTATCTTGAATAGCAGTCACCATATTGTACAGCAAAACTAGGAGGACAGGCTACTTACTAAGAAACTTGAGAAAAGATGGAGGGACCAGGTATATCTCATCAAGACTCTGAATTAACCATGCCTGGAACTGACTTACTGATAGACTTCTTATTTGAGATATAAACAACTTTATTGTTTAAACAATATATAGTCAGATTTTATTTTAATTAAAGCTGTATGTCTCCTAAATATTAAAGATGAGTAAGAATCTATCAGGTGGAAAAGTCAGTTCTGAGTTATAGAGGCCAGAATGAATCGTATTACACTGTATTTGGAACAGACTGTTCACAGTGACTAGAATCAGTAAGGAGAAAGAGACAAGATAGAAGGCTAGAAAAATCTTGTATACCATAATAAGCAATCTAAATTTTACCATTTTTGTAATAGATATCATTCAGTTATTAAGTAGGGAAATAATGTGGTGATAAGATCAGATACGATATTCTTTAAAGATTTTCTTAATGCTTTTAAAAGTTAGATACAGTTAATTTTCAGCAATTTCAATATAAACACACAATGTGTATACCTGCAAATAAAGCAGAGTCTTTTTCCTTCTTATAAGCCTTAGATTGAATCGTGGGTATAGGAGAAACGGTTGTAGAACCCAATGTTCTTCTATGCTCTTGTTTATTCTGTGAATAAGATCATGCAAAGGCTTAGAATTTTTTTTTTACCTGAACATTAGGAAAACTGGAAAACTATCTCAGAAATTATTTCTCTCTATGTATATTGATAAATAATTTAAATCTGATTATTCACACTTGGAATATATAATTATAATAACTAACAGCTGTATAGTTCTTTAAATTATTTTAAATGTCAATTTATATTTGAGAGAGAGACAGACAGAGTCCGCATGAGGGAGGGGCAAAGAGAGGGAGACACAGAATCTGAAGCAGGCTCCAGGCTCCAGTTGGCAGCAAAGAGCCCAACACAGGGCTTGAACTCATGGACCACAAGATCATGACCTGAGCCAAAGTCAGATGCTTAACCTACTGAGCCACTCAGGCACCCCCCCACCCCCATCTAGTTCTTTAAATACTTCCAAATATAGTATTTATTTAATCCTCAAAAACAAAACCCTATAAGATGGATGTTAGTACCACTTTATGAGGAAGAAACAAATCTACAGAAATTTAAAACTTGGACTACGTTCACACTTTTTACTAAATTCTATTTTCTTTGCCTCTAAAGCTTAGCTATTATACTCATATAAAATTTATTTCTCCAAATGCAGGGAAAATCTAAACTTCAAATACTGAGGGGGGGGGAAGCCCTCTTAGTTTAAAAAGAAACTTGACTCATTCATTGAGTAGATATTGCAGAATACCTCTGAGTAGAATGAGAGAACTGGAAAAAAGATCCAACTTTTCCCAGGTTAGGGTCTCAGATTGGCTCTAGTGTGGAGAGAGACTTTGGTGAATCCATTATGTCACTAGAAAGATCATTGATGCTTTTATTTTAGCAATTAACTTAGTCGGGTTCAAAACACAAACTGTCTCTGGAGCAGCAGCTCACATTTCAGTCCACTTGTTTTATCCTTAGCCAGGCTGCTTGCAGTCTCCCTAAACAGGCATGGTTCAGGGGGCAATGAGATACTTGGATAGGGTTTATACATGGAAGATGGGGCTACCATCTTTGACTTTCTTCTATTACTCTCCACTCACTTTCCAGAAGCTTGGGCTGCCCTGAACATTGCCCTCTAGTTCTCCTGGCCAGGAAAAACATGTTTCCTATCGGAGGTTTCGATGCCCCATGCAGTGCCAGCTTCATCTACCTTTCAAGCTAAAAGTCATAAAAATAGCCCTGTGTAAGTAAGTTATTCCAAGTTTCTATGCTTTTTGTTATAACATGCTTCTGGTTTCTTACTCTCTAGGGTCTTCAGATAATATGTGTGTGCGTGTGTGTGTGTGTGTGTGTGTGTGTGTGTGTGTGTTTTCTGAGTATCTTGTCTAGAGTTTACATTTATTGTCTGAGACAGGGTGGGTGTAATAGGGTTTACTCAGCCATACTGAATCAGATTTCTCCAGAGTTTTTACTACCTCTATTGTCTTTTCCTATTGCATTGTTTAATACTTCCTAAACATCTATAAATAATAGTGGCAATAAGTGTCACTCTTGCCATGCCATAGACTAGTGTATTGTCATTAATTATGAAGGTGGCTATTTTAAGGTATAATTTTTAAAATTATGCTGGGGGGTGCCTGGGTGGCTCAGTCAGTTACGCATCCAACTCTTGGTTTGGGCTTGGGTCATGATCTCACAGTTCATGAGTTCGAGCCCTGCATCAGGCTCCAAGCTGCCAGTGCAGAGCCTGCTTGGGATTCTCTTTCCACCTCTCTGCCCCTTGCCAACCTTGCTCTCTCTCTCTCTCAAAATAAGTAAATAAACTTTAAATTTTTTAAAAACAAAATTATGTTGATATTCTTTATCATACAGCAAGTATTTTTTGTAGTTTTATCAATGATGGCTGTTGAATTTATCAATTATATTTAAAATCTTGCAGGTATTAAAATAACTACATTTTTCTGATGAAACTCCAGGCATAGAGCTGGCAGATATTGAGGGTGAGGATGAAAACAAAAGTTGTAAAGAGGTTAACTGCAATTCTTTGGACTTTCTGAACCAACTGCCACCTCTCCCATTTCCCAGTTACCCTCTCCCACATACAGTTATAGAAAATTGTATTTAATTAATCTCAGGCTAAAATAAGTGCCCTTCTCTTAATAAACTTACTGCTAATGTTTGGTTCTCTGGAGTGAAACTCTCTTCATGCTAGCATTTGGAAGAAAGGCTACCAGTCAAATTACCTTCTCTCTGCCCTCTTATGCTAAAGTAAAGCTAGCTGGTTGAGAACTCTGATGTATACACAGAACAGCTGACTCTCCACTCTGGAGAGATACTTATTTATAAAATTAATGACAGTTTCATAGAAAAATTAACTTATATCTTTACTCTTAAATATGAACAAATGAAGATTTATTAGGTATGATAAAAATCAGTAACTTCAAAAATATCTATCATGTTAAACAAAAGGAATACTGACACCAGAAAAAAAAAGAGATAATTCAAGAAACAGAAAATAAGTTAAAAGAAATGAACACTAACATCCTCAGAAAATGTTGAGAACACATGTAACAGGAGTCTGCAAAAAGAAAAACAACAACAACTAAGGACAAGAAAGAAACTTAAAATATCATTACTGAACCAAAATGCAATCAAAGGACTGGAATAAAAGGTAAATTTTCAGAAACAAAAAGTAGAGAATAGCAATATAGAGAATCAATCCAAGAAATCTAATATCTGACCATTAAAGAACACAGAAAATAGTGGAAAGAAATTGGAAAAGAAATAACAGAGATATTTTTTAAGATCTAAAGAAAGACATTTGCTTTAGGGTGGGGTCCACAGAACACTGAACAGAATGAATTGAAGTAAAATTACCACCCTTGGGCATATCCTCAAGACATGTGAAAACAATATTGATAAAGAGAAGATCCTAAAAGTTCCAAGGGGAAAAATTAAATAAAATCAACTTACAAAAGACTGAGAACCTTTCATTAACAATACTGAATGGCATAAGACAGTCTAGCAATGTCATCAAAGTTTAGGGAAAAAAATGAAATTAAGATATAATTGTACTCAGCTAAATTATCAATCATATAATGGGAAAAATAAATATACACCCAGACATCTATGAACCACTTCTAGGGATGTTCCTTGAAGACATATTATAGGAAAATAAAGATGAAATCCCAGAAGAAATAACAAAACATGGAGTACTAAAATCTGGCAACTAAACCAGGAATGGAATGACCCAGTGACAACTGCAGAACAGGCTTAAAATAGGTCAAATTTAGAACAAAAAGTCACTGGGATCCTTGAACAATTCCTCCAAGAAGATTAGAATGGATTCTACTCAATAGAGATAATGAGTAAGAAAGCTTGAGTATATTCACATATAATGATAAAATTGTATATTTCTTTTTTGGAGACTGCATATCTTACAGGCATAGAGCATGTATCAGACTGTTAGGTTCTTCCTAGCTCTGCCATTTATAATTTGATCTCGGCCAAATTACTTGTATCTTCTTTGTACCTCTTTTTTTCTTATCTATAAAATAGGAATAAAAATAGTACTTCCTTGGGTTGTTAGGGATGTAAATTTATATATATACATATATATGTATATTTATACTACAAAAGTACTGTAAGTACTATATAGATGTTTGCTATTATTATCATCCTCCCACAAGAAAAAAAAAGGCAAATTGAATCTTCGGAAAAAAACACAAAAGTGTATACATGACAGTAAAGGTTTCAATATGAGGCAAACTAACACATGGCATTATTTTTGAGTAACTGGTGGAGAATAAGAAAAGAAAGCCTTTTGCTTGTACATTTTACCCATTGAGAAGAATTGTAATCTTAGCACATTACTTTGTTGCACATTCATTACAATGAATATGTACAGTGTCATCATAACAAGATACTATTTATAGCCTTGAGTTTTAGAATTAACCTACAGACAAAACATGAGGGCTTAATCAGAGTTGCAGACTGAATATAATCATTGATGTCAACAATGCAAAAGTAAAGATATACCTGACTTGGGGAAGAAGGTGTGAAGGAGAATGGGAGAAAAGGATAGGGCTGCTAAGTTCTTCATTTTACAAACAGGGGAATCAGGAGGTAGTGTTTAAAGTTAATATAAAAGAAAACATATTTAGATATGTTATTTATAGGTTCAAAAGTTAACAACTGAGGAAACAAAAAAGTAACTATCAAAGATCCAGAAGAAAAAAAAACAGGGAGAGATGAAATGTACAGCAATATAAATAAGCTAATTCAAATATATTTTACTGACTATATAATATTTAAAGTTGAAAAGCAAAAAAGTAGTAGTAGAAGCTCATTCTTTAAAATTACGGAGTTAATCATAAAGGGAATTAAACCCCCCCCAAAAGTTAAATATGGTTCCCTTTGAAAAGAGGAAATTAGAACAAGAAGAATGGGATGGAAGTGCTTTGTATCCTTATTAGACTTTCTGAATTATTTTTTAAAAATTCATATGTATATTTTAACTTATTTTTTAAAAATTAAAATGTTGCATATTTTATATAAGATACTAGTAAATTTATTATTATGAGTAAACTTGTGATGCTACAATATGTATTTCTTGAAAGGTATTTATTTAACATGAACCTAAATAAAAGATGTAGTTGAGGATAATACTAATATTCTGGACAGTGGATCCTGTAAATTTTCTTAAAAATTATAAAAGGGGAATATGCAATAAAAATTATAATGTCATTAATTATGTTCCAAAGTATGTATTTCTTCATGCTTCATTTTCCATATTAGCAGTAATCAGGGTTAATAATAAATTAATATCTAAGAGACTCTCTTAAATGACTTTCCTTTGCTGATTCTCTGGTTAACTTCTCTCCCTAGTTTCCTAGATAAAACCTAATGAACAATAGCCAAGGCATGCTCAGTGTTCAAGGCTAGTCAACTACTTTTCTGGATGCCCATGAACCTCTCTGCTCAAAAGGTTATCAAGAGTCAATATTGTTGTCAAATCACTATGTTGTACACCTAAAACTAATGTAACATGTGTGTTATACTTCAATACTACAATTATGCTGCAACTTAAAAAAAGAATCAATACTGCTGGTCCCAAGCTTGTTTATAGTAATTGTGACTGTAATTATATAAATAACTATAGTATGCTAAAAAGAAATGGTCTTGGCTATACCTCAAAAGATTACAAATGGATGCATATTTTCATATTTTAAATTAAAATAAAATATTTAAGTCATGCATGTATTTTTTTATGATGTCCTGTTTTTACTAACTTTATGATAACTGTTAGTCCTTATCATATTCAACTAATTTCTGCTATATGGACTGTCAAGCAAATAATATATTATTTTCTGTATTATCCTTTCACATAAAGTTTTACATAATATCAAAGATGAAATCACTTTAAAATTTTACACTTTGATTCCTAAAATAAATGTGAATTTGGGATTCATAGAAGTATATACAAAATTGTTAGTGCCAATCTGAATTTCTACAAAGTAATTGTTAGGTACACAAATTAAACCTACCTCAGCTGTATCCTTAAGATAAAGAAAAGGTCTAAAAGATCTTGAATTCAGATGTTCTTTCATTGGCTCTAAAGAAACAAATCGAAACATAAATGATATTTCTATACTATTAGGCTACTTCTAATTTAACTATCAATAAAATATTTTTTCTACTTCTAATCAACTTTAGAAATGTAATTTGATAAACTTAGATGCTTACATATGCATTACATTTTCAGAGCTAAATATATTCTAGAGTAATTTGCTTTAAAAGCCAATTCTATTAGGGGCGCCTGGGTGGCTCAGTCAGTTAAGCATCCAACTTCGGCTCAGGTCATGATCTCACAGTTTCATGAGTTTGAGCCCCATGTGGGGCTCTGTGCTGACAGCTCAGAGCCTAGAGCCTGCTTCGGATTCTGTGTCTCCCTCTTTCTCTGCCCCTCCCCCACTCATTCTCTGCCTCTCAAAAATAAAGAAATGTAATAAAAAAATAAAAAAAAAAGCCAATTCCATTAACAGAATTTATAACTTTTGATTATTAACTCCTGACTACTTATCAGAAACTATGGAGGTCAGAGCTATGACCTCAGAACACACAACAAAGTGGTATGTTCTTGGGAAAAAATGGATTTCTAAACAAAATGGAATCATAGTTAAAGGAATCTTTTCATTAATTCCTTTGAAAAGAGAAATATTCCCCTCAACCTGAACCCCAACTCAGCTCTAATTATTTATTAACCTGGGTTATCCTTTAATGGATTTTCTTAAGGTAGGTATGGTGTTAGGTCAAGCATACAGACTTTGGATTTAGATAGTCTAGGACCAAAGCCTACTTTTTTATCTGTAAGTCATATACCCTTACATAAGTTATTTAACTTCCATGAGCCTTAGTTTTCTGATCTGTTAAGGGGAAATAATAGTACTATCTTAGAGGAATGCTGTGAGGAGGAAATGAAATAATAGATGTAACTAATTTAATAGTATCTGGCATTCATTCAGTCAACAGTTATTTATTTATTTTTAATTTTTTTAATGTTTATTCATTTTTGAGTGACAGAGAGAGAGAGTGTGAGTGGGGGAGGAGCAGAGAGAGGGAGACAGAATCCAAAGCTCGAAGCTGTCAGCACAGAGCCCGACACGGGGCTCAAACTCACAAACTGTGAGATCATGACCTGAGCTGAAGTTGGACACTTAACCGACCAAGCCACTCAGGCACCCCAACAGTTACTTACTGATCACCTACTACATGCCAGCACTGGTGTTAGACACTGTAATTGTGATTCCTGTGCCCAGTGATACATATACTTTAGTGGGTAATACAGATAATAAACAAGTGAGACAAAGAAGTGAATAATTATAAATTAAGATACCTGCTGTGACAGAAATAGATTTTGGTGAGGGAGAACAACAGAGTGAGGTATATTTTAGATAGGTTCATTGCTATGGAGTGAATCTGTTCCCCCCAAAATTTATATGTTGAAGCACTAATCCTCAATGTGATGATATCTGGAGGTGAGGCCTTTGGGACATACTTAAGTTTATATGAGGTAATGAAAGTGAAGACCCCTATGATGGGATTAATGTCCTTATAATAAAAAACATGACAGAGAATCTCTTTCTCCACCATGTAAGGAATCAGGCAAGAGGACAGCTGTCTGCAAACCAGGAAGAGGGCTCTAACCAGAACCTGACCATACTAGCACCCTGATCTCAGACTTCCAGCCTCCAGAACTGTGATAAATAAATATTTGTTGTTTAAACCACTCAACCTATAGTAGTTTATTATAGCAGCCTGAACTCACTAATAGAGAAATTGGCACTGAGAAGTGAGGTGCTGCTATAACAAATAACTAAAAATGGGGAAGTGGCTTTGGAACTGGGAAATGGCCAGAGGCTAGAAGAGCTTTGAGATGCATAGGAGAAAAACCCAGTATTTCCATGAAGGGAATTTAAAGAAGATTCTGGTGCGAGTTCCCTAAGATTCTTTTACCGTCTCAAAGAATACATAAAGGGGCACCTGGGTGGCTCAGTCGGTTGAGCGTCTGAATTCAGCTCAGGTTATGATCTCATGGTTTGTGAGTTTGAGCCCCGTGTCGGGCTCTGTGCTGACAGCTCAGAGCCTGGAGCCTGCTTTGAGTTCTATGTCTCCCTCTCTCTCTCTGCCCCTCCCTGCCCCTGCTCACACTCTGCTTTCTCTCTCTCTCAAAAATAAATAAACATTAAAAATTTTTTTAAAAAGAATACATAATCAAGTACAGAAATGTTAGTAGATCTATGGATGGTAAAAGCCATTCTCAATGAGGTCTCATAGAAATTAGGCACATATTATTAACAATGAAGAAAAGGTTATCCTTGTTATCAAGTGACAAGGAACTTGGCTGAACTGTGTTTGTGTTCTACTGTTTTGGGAAAGGTAGAACTTGTGAGCAATGAAACTGGATATTTAGCTCAAATTTCTAAGCAAGCATTGAAGGAGTGGCTTGGTTCCTCCTGACTGCTTGTAGTAAAATTCAAAAAGAGAAAAACGAATTGGAAGACTGAACTGTTAAGCAAAAATAAATCAGAACTTAAGGATTTGGAAATTTTTCAGCCTGTCCACATTACAAAAAATAAGAAAATTTTCAGCATGTCCATGTTTGAAAAAGAACACTAAGGGTGTGGTAGAATGACTATTTGATAAGGAGATTGGTATGGGTGTGAATCACACACCTAAATAGATATCCCAACAGTGACACTGCCAGTTTGAACTGAAGGGGATGGAGATGAGACATAAATGAATGAAATCTGTTGGACTTCTTGGGTTTTACAGGATAGGACCACAGAGCTATTCACTGCAAATACGTGCTATTCTTCAAGACAGGGAAAGAATGACCCTGAAGGCAATTCAAAAATCATCAGAGCTGCCTCCTCAGTTTCAAACGGGGTTACTAATGTCTCAGTTTCAACAGGCCAAAGAGCCTCCACTCAATGCCTTTGGGGTAGGGCATCCCAGAGTCTTGGAGTCATGACCCCTACCTGGCATGCTATAGAGGCAGGACCTCTTCCCCAGTGGTTCCAGAAGAATATGCAGCCAGAGAGAATTATTCTTGAGTCTTAAAATCTTAGGAAGTTTACCTTGCTAAATTTTTGACTTGCTCAGGACCTATCACCCCTTGTTTCCTTGTTTCCTTATTCCTTTCTCCATTTTGGAATAAAAATGCCTATCCTGTGCCTGTCTGACCTTTGCAGTTTGCAAGCACATATATTGTTTGGTTCTAGAGGTTCACAGGTAGAGAGGAAATTTGCATCAGGCTGAATCATTCCTTGAGTCTCACCTATATCTGATTTAGATACTATTTAAATAAGACTTTGGATTTTAACGATAACATAAAAGTCAGACATCAGTAAAATAATTTGTGTTCCAAAATTCTTTTATTGTCCAGAATGAGGATAATAATAGATTTTGAAAGGTTACATGTTGTAATTTCTAGAGTTATCATTTAAAGAATAGAAATAGAGTAGTACATAACTTCCAAATTGATAAAGGGGAAAAGTGAAACTTAAAAAACTCAATTCTAAAGAAAACATGAGAGGACAGAAAAAGAAGTATAAAATCAACAGGGCAAATGAAAGAACAAAAAAATAAAATGGCAAAATTAAATCCAAAGATATTAGTAATTGCATTAAGTATAAATGGACTAAATGCTCCATTTCAAAGACAAAGAGTATGATAGTAGATTTTTAATTTAATAGTATGATGTTTATGAGAGATAAATATAGATTACAATGTTACAAGAAGGTAATAAAATGATGGAAAAAGATATACCATGCAATGGTAGCCAAAAGAAAGCTGGGCAACTACAGCAATATTAAATAGTAAGACAATTACTTCATAATGAAAAAGGGTTCAATTCACTAGAAACATAATTCGAAATATTTATGTAACTGATAACATGGCCTAAACTATATTAAAAATCTATAAAGCAAAATTTGACACTGCTTAAAATTTCAACAGTAGAATAGATAAGTTGTGATATACAGTTGATCCCTGAATAACATAGGTTTGAACTGCATGAATCCACTTACATATGGATTCTTTTGATAGTAAAATACTGTAAATGTATTTTCTCATCCTTTTGTTTCTCTTAACATTTTTCTTTAGCTTACTTTATTATAATAATATAGTATATAATACATATAAATACAAAATATGTGTTTATGTTATTGTAATGGTTTCTGGTCAACAATAGGCTAATAGCTGTTAAGTTTAGGGGAATCACAAGTTATATGTGGATTTTTGACTGTGCACTAGAGTCAGTGCCCCTAACCACCCTGTTGTTTAAGGATCAGGTGTACAGTACTTTATTTTATTATTATTATTTTTATTATATGAAATTTATTGTCAAATTAGTTTCCATACAACACCCAGTGCTCATCCCAAAAGGTGTACAGTATTTTAATGATGGAGAAAATAAATTAAGAAGAGAGACTGAGAAGTAAAATAGCAGGAAAACAAGAGATATGGGTTCCCAAACCCCTAAGAGGAAAATTTTAAGAAGGAAGGAATGATTGACCAACTATACTTGTTATTAAAATGTGGAAGAAAATAAAAACAGAAAATATTATTTGGATTTATCAATGGAGATCATTGGTATTCTTGATCAGTGCAGCTTCAGTAGGATGGTGGAGGCGGAATCCAGACTGTAGTTGTCTGAAGTTTGAACAAAAGAGGAAGTAGAGACAGATGAAGAGTATCAGAGTAATGAGGCAGTATGGGGCAATGTGGAGTCAAGGAGCCTTACCCAAAGGGATCGATGAGAATGATGCAATTGAATGTTTTTTGATAATTCCAGAGAAAGAAAAAAAAGGCAACACAAAACACTCAAATTCTCTGAAGATGTGGAGAATTTAATGGGTTTACATTAAATATTCATTTGTTCATTTAGTTTATTACCTGTCTCCCCACCTTACCCTAAAACATAAATTGAGGGCAGATTTTTTTCACTCTTGTATTCCCAGCACCTAGAGTAGAGACTGACCCATAGTACGTGTGTAATAAATATCTATTGGGTGCACAAATTTTCCTGGTAAATTTTTATTCAACTTTCTTACAATATTATAAGTGCTTGTTCCTAGCTTACAGATTCCTTAATGTTCTAAGAAAGTAAGTTCCTTTACACTTTCTGTAAATAAGTTTTTATTAAGCAAGATGTCCATACTTGATTGATTTCTTTTTTTTTTTAACAATAAGGAAACTCTTAGGGTAGAGCTGAAAGGAAACTCAGAAGCTTTCTTTCAAGAAAAATAAATAAACATAAAAATATATTCTTAATTTTTGAACTGCATAAATTGTCCATTCTGATATTTAACGTCTCTACTGCTTAGGAAATTCTTTATAGTTCACTGAAATCTTTCACACTGCAGTTATACACCATATACTTTCAAGAAAATTCTTTCCACAGAGATATCCAATGATCAAGAGCTTTTAAGATATACATTAATAAATAATAAAGTATATAATACAAGCAAAACCACTCATTAATAAGTTAAAGGAGAAGTAAATATGGTACGCAGAGCATTACCTATTGACTTGCTTTCTTGATTTTTTATATTTGTTGGTACAAAGTGTGGTCTTAAATTTAATGTTTCAAAATCACTCTTTGTAGGTTCAGGCTCATTTTTAAAGGAGACGTATCTAGAAAAAATAAAATTAATCTAAGTTAAAGTAATCAGAAAAATCTACAAAACTAATCTAAAAAATAAATTTTGAGAAATGTGGTAAAATGCAGATTGAATGTTGTTGTATTAGTACTATTATAGTACAAAGTGTAAAATGTTGGTACTAAGGCAGAGATGAAAGTATTCGTGATAATCACTTGAAGTAGAGACAGATAGTAAGCTACTGTTGTCATAGGATTGAGGGCACCTAGGAAACTATAGTTCACAAGCTGATTAACCCTTTAAAAAATATGCTGGAAATTCATTAAATGAGATATTGGAGACATTGTCAGACCTGAGTCAAAGTGGTGGGACCCAGAGTTAGGGTCACTTCAGATACCAAAATAACATACTAGATAGGATCACAGCATTTATTTACCATACAGGAAATTTTCTCCATTAAATTCTTTGACTACTGATAGTATGTAATAAAGTTAATAGTATTACATAATTCATGATATTTCTGACCTCTAAATGCTGGGGTAATCCATGACTCAGTCTTCTGACCTCTAACACTCACCCTCAGTTGATATCTAATCTCACATCTTCACGTATTATCTATATGCTCATGTCCCTGAGATTTATAAATCCAGGCCCTCAAACTCTTCCCTGAGCTCCAGATTTATATATCCAACTGCTACATGACTTCTGCAGTTAGGTATATCATAGGCATCTCAAACTTAACACATTCAAAACCAAATCTTTGCTTCTGCTTTCTTCCCAATTGTTGAGGCTTCCCCATCTCCATTCAACCAAAGGCTTAAGCCAAAAACTTGACAATATCTTTGATTTCTTTCTCTCACTCCTCATTCCCATCTGTTGGCAAACCCCACTGGATATTTCTTTGAAATATGTCCCAAATCAAACTACTTTATTTCTTGTTACTTCTACCCTAGTCCAAGACACCTTCATCTCCCATCTGAGCTACTTCTATGTGTCTCTCGCCTTCTATCTGCTCTCTCTGCTATCACTCATCCCCTACAGTCTATTCCTAATGCAACCATGGTGGCATCTGTAAAATATAAATGTGATTGCCATTTCCCTCCAAATGTTTCCTACTGGACTCAAATAAAGTTCAAAATCCTCACTCCAAGACAGAAACTGTCCCCAGTTCTCATGTTTCTAAGTAGAGGAACTTCGATTGAATGTCCTTTCAGGCCTCTCTGTGCACCTCCCCAAGCCCCACCTCTACATGGAAGCAGAGTGAATTTTCCAACTGTTTGGTTTGAGGAAAGGAATTTAAGCTCCCACTTGAGGACCTTGGTACTTGCTCATCCTTCTGCCTGTAATATTTCCCAATGATTGCCAAGGGTTACTCCCTTAAGTTATAAGAGAGCATTTTGTAAGACTCTGCTCAATTTCCATTTCTCCACAAAGGATTTTTCCTGCCCCTTTCTCTATTTAAAATAGTAATCCCTATCAGTCTTAATTCCTTTAATTTACTATCATTTTCTTCATAGTATTTATCACTAATGGATTGACATTAAATATTCATTTGTTCATTTAGTTTATTATCTGTCTCCCCACCTTATCCTAAAACATAAACTGAGTGAGGATTTTGTTCACTCGTATTCCCAGCACCTAGAATAGGGACTGACACATAGTACATGTGTAATAAACATCTGCTGAGTGTACAAATTTTCCTGGTAAATTTTGACTAAACTTTCTTATAATCTTATAATTTCCAATGAGATTTTAGTGTATTCTCTTTGGATTTTTCAGTAAACATTCATTTAACTTTCATAAAACATTTTATCTATTCCTTTCAAAACATTTATATTTTTGTATTACGTTCTTGTTTAATATCACTGGCAAGCACTTCTAGAATAGTACAGTTTATTGGTGAGAATATGCATCCTTCTGGTTCTAATTTAAATGGAAATGCGTCAAGGCTTCCATCCTAAGGATGAAGTTGGCTATATAGTCTTCTTAAGGAGTAATTTTTTTTATCCTTATATTACTAAAGTATTTTTCAAATACATTTACAAAGACTATATAGAGATGTTTGGATATGGATTTCCTTATGGTGAACTAGAGAGTGTGGACTTTGGAGTTGGACCTTACTTTGCATCTTGACTCTACGTGAAGTTCTGCAGAATACTGATTTCCTCTGAATTTGTCTTTCACAGGCCAAATGCAGTAATAGCTATCTTATAGGGTTAGTATAAGAAATACGTAAAATAAAGTTCAGAAGTTGCTTAGCAAAATGTTTGGGACATAAGAAGAGGTCAAATTTCAGTTCATTTGTTTTATCCTTTGCTGGGTTGGTTTATAAGATTGATTATACACAAACTCTGTCCACAACTGACCTTGACTTTCCTTTCTAGTTTATATAGCCTCTTGTCATATTGTTTTATTTCTTAAAAACTTTATTATATGGATTAATTTTAAGGATTTAGTTGACTAATAACTAAAATATAAATCCTGATGCCCAGAAGCAGATAGACTTATGGGATAGATAAATGGGGTATAGAAATAGAGTTCTTTTAAGCTCACAGGGACCTGGATAAGGGTGTTCTCCTACTCATTGAATAATGAGCCTAATGTATTTTACCACTCATTTTGCAAAGGAAGGAGAGGAGGGTGGTCACAGTTTCTGTCATTCTAGCTTCTTCCCTAAAAGTAGGTGTGAAAGGTCTGAGATTTGACATTACTTACAAGCTAACGAGTTAGGCTGCCACAGTTTGATCTATGCTCGCAAAGAAGTAGACTCCTGAGTCAGAGACAAAGGCCTGTTTATTACTCACCATGATAGGAATAGCATTTTCTGTATCAGTTCTCTGAGCCTCTATTCCACAGGGCAACAAGCAGAGGGCCAGATGACTTCTGCACACATAGTGTGTTGTTACAAGAGTGGAACCCTGAGCTTACAGAACCCAAATTTTTTATAATGAATAGTAACATACCTGCTCTTGCTCAAAGAAAAGCACTACCTCTTTCAAGGCTATTTGTTATACAAAAATCCTTGAGAAGCTAGGAACAAGGTAACCAGTGCCTCTTCTCATAAGATGTACAGAAATATAAGAGATCCATGGAGATTTTTTTTTTCCCAGCAGCAGGAAGAACAAATGGGAGGCTAAGAGCCTAAGAATAAAAATTGAGTTCCTAGCACTAGATTCTTATGTAATATAAAGAATTAAACTTGGGGGGCGCCTGGGTGGCGCAGTCGGTTAAGCGTCCGACTTCAGCCAGGTCACGATCTCGCGGTCCGTGAGTTCGAGCCCCGCGTCAGGCTCTGGGCTGATGGCTCGGAGCCTGGAGCCTGTTTCTGATTCTGTGTCTCCCTCTCTCTCTGCCCCTCCCCCGTTCATGCTCTGTCTCTCTCTGTCCCAAAAATAAATAAACGTTGAAAAAAAAAATTAAAAAAAAAAAAAAGAAAAACAAACAAACAAAAAAAAGAATTAAACTTGGATTATAAATTTGATGGTTTAATTCACTAGCATAAAATCATAAATCTTCTCTTTATAAGTTGTATTGGTTTTGAGCTGCTTGTAATTTTTTTAATTCATCCACCTTCATTCCCTCTTTTAGGGTCTTATATTTAGAAAAATCCCCTGTAAAATTATACCCTGTTGCAGTTGAGTTAAAGGAATATAGGTAAAGGCCTTGATTTTGTGCTGCATGGGCTGGAGTTAAAGGAAGGTTACTGCACATCCATGGAATGGATATGAAATGGCACTGGTGCATAAAGGGAAGAAACCCAAGAGCAGGACACAGCTCAGATGGAAGTATGGGGATTGCTTCAAAAGCTGCCTCTTCCCAAATAGGAATCTGTTATGGATAACTTCCCTGCTTTGGAATGTTTTATGTTTTTACAGAACAGCCACTGTGAAACGAAGGTCCAGAGCTTTCGTTCTGGTACCATGGGAGAATTCTAACTACATTTTTTTGTCATAAAGACATCCAGTTTGGATCTTTATTTTAATTATATTTGATTTTAACTTGCATAAAATATTTCTCCAGGTAAATGGCTCAGAAAGAATATATAGGTGGATTACCTTCTAGTTTTTCATATCCAAAAATTTCTCTTTTGTTCTCATATATAAATGATGATTCATCTAAATAGAGGATTCCTGGATTGCCATTCTGTTCAAAAGTTTAAAATTGTTTATTGTTTTCTAGCCTCAGAGATGCAGATGAGACATATAAAACTCATTTGACTTCCTTTCCTTTGTAATTAACCATTATTTTTCTGCCTTTGGACTTAAACAATTTTACTGTAAGTCTAGCAGTTGGTAACCCTTTTGATCTGAAAATTCAAGTCTGTCTTCAAAAAAAGGTCATTTTTCCCTAATATTTCTTTATTTCCTTACTATGTTTCTTACTTTCCTGATTTATGTATTAGGTATATATTCCCAGGTTGAATATCTTGAAATCTTAGTATATATCTCTTTTCAATCTGATTTTCTTTTTTTTTTTTGTATTTTCATAAGATATTGCTTCTATTTGACCTTCTAGACTATCAATACTGTTTTTAACTGTATTCTATTTTTATTTTCCTACTCAATTTTTGATCCAGAAATATTTTTAAATCCCTTTTCCCTGATTATTTCTGTCCTTAAGATATATATTCTCCTAAGTTTTCTTCTGTTTCTTCCATTATCTACCTCATCATGAGTCACTTGTTTTGATTGTCTTTATCTCCCTCCTTCATATGAGTCCCCTTAAATGAGGGATTTCTCTTCAACCTCTCATTTCAATGAGTGTGAGTTCCCTCAGCACATATAAAGGTGAGGCTATTTGAAACTCAGGTAATATCAGTCAGTGACAGATAAGATTCTTTTGCAGAGTATCAGTGGCAAACAAGCTGTCATAAGAGGGTCTCTTGATTAAAGGAGTGACAAATGAAGAGGCCTCTAGAAATGTTTCTTAAATTTTTAGATGTATACTAGAATCATCTAGGGTGCTCTGAAAAAACACCAATGTCCAGACATCCCCCCCGCACCGCCCCCCTGCCCATAGTTAAATCATGATCTTTAGGCAGGGCTCAGCATATTTTCCAAAAACTCTCAAGTGGGCAGTTAGTGTAAAGAGGCCCTGCTCTAGAATGTCAGGCTCCTCTAGGTATGAGCAATAATAAGGAGTCCTCTTCCAGGTACAGAGAAGAGGCAGTGTTCAGCCTAGTAGTGAACCTCTCCCCATAGAGAGCTGGAGTTGATGTTGTTACCTTCCCAGAATCCTCCTGGGGCCTTGAAGGAGCCTGTGCTTACATAACTGAGAAATGGTGTGGGCAGCAGGAATGAGGCATGAATCTCTGCGTCTACTCACATAAAAGCCTCCGTCTTCTCTATCCTTCCTGTTCCCAGGCCACCCTACCCTACTTACCCATAAGTCATACTTTACCTAAGATTTTAGAAATTATTGCCATATGTAAACATGGCTTGTGTATCTCATTTACTATCTTATTTTTAATGATTAGAATATATGATTGCATATTTCAAAAATACAGCTTATTTATTTATTTATTTATTTATTTCAGTATTGGTTTTGGGAGTAGAACCCAGTGATTCATCATTAATATATAACATCCAATGCTCATCACAAGTGCCCATCCCCCACCCAATACCCCTCCAGAAATCCTTGGTTTGTTCTCTGTATTTAAGAGTCTCTTATGGTTTGCCTGTCTGTTTTTATCTTATTTTTCCTTCCCTTCCCTTATGTTTAATACAGTTTATATTTTTATTGCTGGGTTTTGTTTTTGTTTTGTTTTTTTCTGAGTGACTATTGTATGTTGGGGAATTTTAAACTCTTCACACATGTCAATACATTTAATTTGCAAAACAACCCTATGGAATACATACTATTATTATCCACACTGTAACTATGAGGATACTGAGACACAAAAGGTTATGTAACTTGTCCAAGGTCACAATTAGTAGTAAGTAAAGCTAAGATACAAACCTGGCAACTGGCCTATAAACCTCATCCTCTTAATCTCTGTGCCAGTCTAATGTCACACAGAGTATAAGACATGCATATTGAACTAAAGGAAGAAGGAATGTGGCCAATTAAATTTCACTGTAGGCTGCAAGAGAATCCTTCATTAATATTTAACTATCTTTTCTGTATGCAAGTTTATCCTATTGTCATAAAACTATTTCTAAAAGGAATATTCTTTTGACAGGTCTCATTATAGATTTATTTTTAGGACAATAATTCTTCTAATGAATAGTCCCTATTAATCTATTAATCTAAAGGGAAATATTTTTGGGGAGCCTAAATGGCTCTGTCAGTTAACTGTCTAACTCTTGATTTTGACTCAGGTCATGATCTCACCATTTTTGAGTTTGAACCCTGTATCAGCTTCCACACTGAGAGAATCCTGCTTGGGATTCTCTTTCTCCCTCTCTCTCTGCCCCTCCCCTGCTTTTGCTCTCTCTCTCAAAATAAATAAATAAACGTTAAAAAAAAGAAAAATATTATTTTTTGTAACTTCAGTAGCTTTGAATTATTTACTGAGCTTTCTTTTTTTTTTTTAATTTTTTTCAACGTTTTTTATTTATTATTTTTGGGACAGAGAGAGACAGAGCATGAACGGGGGAGGGGCAGAGAGAGAGGGAGACACAGAATCGGAAACAGGCTCCAGGCTCTGAGCCATCAGCCCAGAGCCTGACGCGGGGCTTGAACTCACAGACCGCGAGATCGTGACCTGGCTGAAGTCGGATGCCTAACCGACTGCGCCACCCAGGCGCCCCTAACTTTCAGTGACAATTTAAATACCCTTAATCAACCTCCTTATTCCTAACTTGTTTTCTATTTCTTACCACTTTATAAGTAGTAAAATTGCCATTTTCAACTGATAATGCAGCACTAAATGCTTAAGTAGTAGAGAAATCACTTTGTCTTTCCTTTATTTTTTTAAAGGAGAGAGAGAAAGAGAGGGAGTGCTCACTCACCACTGGAGGAGGGGCAGAGAGAGAGAGGGAGAGAGAGAATCCAAAGGTGGTCTTGCACTGTCAGCACAGAGGTCTTGCACTGTCAGCACTGGGTGCTTGATCCCATGAATCTCAGGATCATAACCTGAGCTGACACCAAGAGTTGCACACAAACAACTGAGCCATCCAGGTGCCCCACTTTATCTTTATTCCAGGTAATTTTTAAAAGGGAATTTTGCTAAAATGAATATGACTCTTTTGTAAAAGGTCCATTTATGAAAAGTTGCAGAGAAGAGTATATTTGGTGTTTAATGAGAAATCTTAGAGACTATACACAGATTAGCTGAAAGATATCTTTAATATTTTATCGGTTCCCATTTATCCCAGAAAAATGCTGAAATCCTGAACTGATAGTTACATGGGAAACATGTCTCTGGGAGTAACTGAGAAAAAAAGCCCTAAGAATTTGAATAGTTCTCATTCTTAGTTTTATGTAAGAATCTTTTGGGGAATCTTAAAAATAGTAATGCCTGGGGTCTACTCCAAACTAATTAAAGTAGAATCCAATTATTTTAAAGCTCCCCAAGTAATACTAATGTGCACTTGGGTTGAAAACTACTAGTCTGAAGGCAAAGCACAGCTACAAATAAACCTGGGAAGGTTTATATCAATTAGGTGATCACAGCACCGGGCTGAGAGGCACTATGATATTCAGCAAACTATGGAAGAAAACTGGAATGAACAGATGTTGGTGTTGGGCAGCTAGATCAGCAGGACATAAGCTAGAGCAGAGACTCAAAGGATGGTCCCTGGACCAGCAGCACCAGCATTACCTGGAAACTTATTAGATGTACAAATTGTCAGGCCCCACCCAGACCTACTGAATCAAAAATATTAAATCAAAAACTCTGCAGGTGCAGTCCAGCACTCTGTGTTTTAAGGAGCCCTCCATGTTTGAGACCCACTGGGCTAGAGCAGTGCATCTCTGTCATTAGTGTTCACAGGAATCAGCTGTGTGAAGTGTATCTGCCATCACAACTCAGTGTAGGAGTGAGGCTTAAGAGCACTGGTGGAGACTGGCCTCCTGAATTATAATTAACAAAACTTACCAGGAACTGTATCTTCAGATACAGAGGAACTGAGTTTATCCAATATAACCCATATAACCAGGATATCATTGTTGATATGAGGACAGAAACGTTCTGCCTTATGCTCTGTTACTTAAGCAATCATTCTGTTACAGCTAAAAAGGACTTCCTGCCAAGAATGGGTTGCTTCCTAGAAGAAGAATGCCCCCTCCTCAATGCCCCACAGACATCTAAAACTTAATATATCCAAAATGAAACTCAGACCTTATCACTGTAATCCTCTTCTCTACCCCAATCTGTGTTTCATCATATATTCTCTACCTAAGTACAAAATGTCATAATGCACTTAGTAACCAAGCCCGAAAGCCTGCAAGCCATTCTACATTCAGAATGGGGTAGTGATAAATTTGCCATCCAACATTCATCCAGTTGCATGAGTGATAAAGAGCACAAGTCTGAAATCGAACCGCTAGAGTTTAAATCCAGTTTGAGCCACTTACCTGTGTGACCTTGGGCAAGTTATCTAACCCCACCGAGATGGGCTTCTCATCTATAAAACTGCACTGAACACACTGAGTGTTTACACAGAATAAATGAGGTAAGAACAGTGTCCACACTACCATCAAGGTACGATAGAAGTTCTATTGATTCTACATCTTACTATTTCTTTTGTCTGGGCTCTCCTCTACATTTCTGATGCCTAGAAAAATTATATAGCATTATGCCTGTCCACAATGCCAGTGAAAGACCAACTATGACATATTCAGGCTATCTCTTATAAGTACATAGAGAAACTGCCTTACTTGGTTTTCCAGGTGGACTTCTTTTGGCAGTCTATTGGTCTAAAATTTGAAATAAATCCTGACATTAATCTGGGGCAATGTAATAGAATTCAAGACAAGTCTTTCTTTAAAAATCCAGAATTGTAATTACTATCTAATAACACCTGTAATAATAAACTACAATAAATATTTTATAAACTAATTTATTCAGAATGCTGAATGAGTATGGTGTCACTCATAAGCACTATGAAACATGCCTATGTTTGACAAAGCTTACATTTAATACAGATTACATAATCTAAAACAAATCTACAGTAATGCTTTAAAACGTCCAACTAAGGGGCGCCTGGGTGGCTCAGTCGGTTAAGCCTCCGACTTCAGCTCAGGTCACGATCTCACGGTCCGTGAGTTCGAGCCCTGCATCGGGCTCTGGGCTGATGGCTCAGAGCATGGAGCCTGCTTCCGATTCTGTGTCTCCCTCTCTCTCTGCCCCTCCCCTGTTCATGCTCTGTCTTTCTCTGTCTCAAAAATAAATAAACGTTAAAAAAAAAAAACAAACAAAAAACGTCCAACTGAAAGTTTGAGGTAATTAGGATGGTTACCTTTTTGGTTCTTTAATACCAAATGACTTGTCTTCTGTGCTCCTGGATACGTTCTTAGATGTGAATGGAGCAATAGCCTCTTCAAATTCCAACTGAAAATCAAATGTCAGTGGTGTAACCAAAGTCTTTTTCTTTACTTGACTCTGAAGTCTGTTTTTCTGCAATAAATCCAAAGTACAACACTGAAAAAAAAAATGAGCACTTTTCATATAGGAAAAACCCTGTATGGAAAGGATGAAATTAGTCTCACTTTATGCACTCACACAGAATTTATGTGCCAGTCACTAATAGCAAAATATTACAGATTAAAAGCTGGGGGGCCTGTGTACCAACATTTTTTTATACCATTGCTGTGTGACCTGAGCTACTCTTTTCCTATTGATGAAATGATAGGATGTTGGACTAGATGATCATGAAGGCTCCCTCCTAACTCTAAAATTCAGAATTTAAGAGTGACCTATATATTACACAAAGAAAACACTGATACATAGAGTTATTGGAAGGAGAGCAAGTTGATCTCTAACCTGCTGCTCTTGCTGTCCCCATGCACGTGGTGAATCACTCCAACATTTGTCTAGTTGCGTAAGCCAGAAATGAAGTGAAGAAAGCAATCAAAAGACTTTGTGCAAATATTTATATAGATGGACTGAAGAGGGAAAAGGATATAGCTAACAAGTTAGTTAAGGAGCCAGAAATCTTTTCTAAAAAATTCTCTCAGCATTGCCCAGAGGAATAAAGTGATGAAAAACTTGACAGCAAGTCAAAGGATAGGAACTTCTGCTTCTGCCAGGAAAGGGTTAAGCGCTACAGGAGTTGCCCTCCTGCTGTAAACAACTAGAAACCCAGACAAAACAACTGTAATCAGGCATTAGAGAACAGGCAGAGGGGGAACCTGAGAAAAGGGAAACAAATGAGGTAAATCCCACAATGGCTCAGCTTGCTTATTGAAGGTAGTTTCCTGGCTGAGAAGCAGTGAGGGGGAACTCACATCAAACCTTGTGGCCTTGACCTTGTTGTGTTTAAGAGATGGAAATTGCACCAACAATTACATTCTTGGGCATTTACCCCAGAGAAATGAAAACTTACGCTCACACAAAAACCCGTACACAAATATTCACAGCAGCTCTCTTTAATCTTTTTTTTTTAAAGCAGCTTTATTTTTAAAAGCAAAATACTGAAAAAAACCCAAACGTCCTTCAATGGGTGAGTGGTTGAAACTCTGTGTATTCATATAATGGCATACTACTCAGCAACAAAATTTATACATTATTTATAATAATAAGGCTATTGATTCATGCAAAATCTTAAAAGGGCCTCAAGGGCATTATGCTTAGTGAAAAGTCAATCTCAAAATTTCACATACTGAATGGTTCCATTTATATAACATTCTCAAAATTACTGAATTTTAAAGATTGGAGAACAGATTAGCCATTGCCAGGGATAGATGGGGAATGAAGTGCGGATATGGATACAAATACAGAAAAATAACATGAGGGAGTTCTTTCATGGTGATGGGTACGTGCTGTCTCTTGATTGTGGTACTGATTACACAAATCTCTTATGGGATAAAATTGATAAACCTATACACACAAATGAAGGCAGGTTTAAAAATGGTGAAAACTAAATGAAATTTGTAGTCTGGTTAATGGTAATATGCCAATGTTAATAAGGGTTGGGATTCATACTGGTTCTGATATGGTACACTACCCATATAAGATGTCACTACTGGGGGCAACTGGGTGAAAGGGACATGGGACTCTGTAGTACCTCTGCAACTTCCTATGACTTGACATTAATTTCAAAATATAAAACTTAAAAAAATAAAGAAGCAATTACCAAAGTGATTTATATATTTTCATCTCATTTTTTGGTCGTTAAAAAATAAAATAGAGACAATTCACTTTCGTAAATGTATGTAGGTGTATGTATGTGTATGTGTACCTGTATATTTATATTGTGAGTATATGTAAAGATAAATTGGTTTATGCATACATAGATAATATTTGTATATCTTTGTAACAGCACAAAAGAAGATGTGGACGGATAAACCCAAATTGGTAAATTTTGTTTGCCTCAAGGAAGCAGTTGAGGAGGCCAAAGACAATTTTTCTTTATGTAATTTCCTTTAAGCATAATTTATATATATAAATATGTATATATTTAAAACTGCTCCTAGGGTCATGGGATTGAGCCCACATTAGGCTCCATGCTCAGCAAGGAGCCTGCCTAAGATTCTCTCTCTCTCTCTCTCTCTCTCTCTCTCCCTCTGCCCCCACCCCCGCTCATGCTCTCTCTCTCTAAAATAAAAATAATAAATAAATAACATTAAAAATAAGAAAAAATTTAAATTTGATTGTATATACTTAAAAAGAATTTCCAGAAAATCCTCTATTAGTAACACATGAACTAGACATAGTAACACAAAATGAGAATGTTTAGGGAAATGGTTTACACAAAAGAAGACCCTAGTAAAAAAGGTAAAAATTATTATTACTAATCATAACTTAAAATTCATACAAAAGGAAATTTCAGGACAAACTACAAAGATTTATCTCTGATTATATTTTCTAAAATACATTTCATTTTAAACAAGAAAATTAAAAAGGAGTGAACTTTGGGGTGCTTAAGTCTAATATGGTTGCATTAGTAAGTTACTCCTGGTTTGCTATTTCAAAATTTGGGTAGCAATGACAGAAAGAATTTATTGGTTTTCCCAATATTTCTCTTTTTTTTTTTAATAAAAGGAGACAGTTATGAAAAAAAGAGAAAGGTTATTATTCAAGCATTAACGTTTTCATTTTCAGGTTCACAAATATGTTCAGTCACTTCAGAGTTCCTCTTTGTGCTGTCTTCCTTGATTTCTGAGACTCTGTGCTCTTCATGCCTCATTTATCCACATTGTTAAGTTATTTTGCAAGTCTTTGTGTAACCAAATTAAATTGCTCATATGTGCTAAAAATCTAGTTTTTGAAAATTATATTCTTTATTAACATTTTATATTGAATTTTTAAAAAGTCTCATGTTATTTAATTTTTATGACCTTTACTTTTAATTTGGTAACTATACCAAATATTTTCTTCCTTTTAATAAACCAATTAAATAACTTTTTATATGTTTAACATATTAATGAGAACTATAGGAGTAGTCACATTTACTATTTGACTGCTTATTTGATTTTTTATCTTAATCACCTTAGGATTATATTATTATATAATATATTATATAATATATATATTATATAATATATATATTATATATATTAGGATACATTATATCCTAATATAATGTGGCAGCTATCCAGAAGTTACCTTGTATATCTAATTAATTCCTTATAGTATACACTTACCTAGATGACTTTTTGAATATAATGATTTGCTTTTTACAAATTAGTTTACAACTCCATACTACTGCATCATTAACTAAAAAATAAAGATAATCATTCACATTTGAAATAACATTTTAATGATTAAATTTTATTTTAGCTTTTATTTACAAACCTTTGCTCTTCTGGCCAAGAGCATCTTTGCCTGCTCATCCAGAATATCTAACTTCTCTAAGATTTTTTCTGCCATTTTCAGTCAGTAAATTCCTATTTAAAAAGGAGAAAAAAGAAAAAATCTCCAAAACAATATAATTGAATATTTAGGCATAAGAGATCCACATTTACATTTCTGTTTGGGGTACAAAATAGAACTGTAGAGATCATGGAATAGGTCATGGAACTGTAGGGGTACCCAAGTTTTTTAGACAAAAAGGTCACATGATCAGAACTCCCAGATGTGTGTGAACCTTAGGAATTTTTAAATGTATGATAAAGGGAAGTTGAACCAGAATTGACTCATACTTGAAGCAAGGGCATGTGGCTTGATTTATATCTATTTTCTTTTTGTTGTGATATAATTTTAATGAAAGTAAATGTGAAGAGCTCACATTTGTATAATTAATTGCATTCAAATTAAATTGGTCAATGATCCAAGACTGTTAATACAGCACTTAGAAGGCGATCAGTCACACAGAAGGAGCAGCTGTCAAGCTGGTTGGGTCCTACTGCCATAATAATAAATATTCTCTAGTCAATTAATATTGCTGAAAATTACATCTGGGGTCAGGCAGTCCATATTAGGCTTGGGGACCTGAATGTTAGACATCAGGACACAAAATACCTTTCCAATGCAACACAAATAACTAGGAGGAGCTGAGTAGAGGCAAGAATCAGAGTATTAACCCAAAGCTCCCACTATATTTTTGCTCAGTGAATTGAATGGGTTCCAGTGGCATTTAAATGTAGAAGTTGTATGGTTCATAGGAAGTACTGAATTCATCAATATTTCTAAGGCACATCAACGTCAACACTAAGGTTCTGGCTCAAAAATGTCTACGCTATTTCTCCCATATTGCATATTATTCAATCAATATCTCACAAAGACACAAAGACAATAATACATGAAAAGCCAAGGATTAAGGATTCTATGCCAAAAGCTCACATTATTTAGTACTTGATTTCTCTTAACTATCTTTTCTACTCTTGGACTCTTCTGAGCCATGGGGCTGCAAGGCAGATTGTTTGCCTTGTTACAAACATCATAACTTGAAGTTGCAAGTTGGAGACGGGATGTGCAGGCAAGGGTGTTAGCACAATTATGAGTACCTCGGACTTTCTGGGTCTCCTATTGAAGAGTAAGGGACAGATTTTGGCAGACATTTTAGATTATCTGGATGCTATGTGTTGTCTTTTGTGATCCAGGAACCAATCCTCTCATATATCCTAAAAGCAACTAAAGGGATTTTAGTTTCTGTGTTTTTCTTACGCATAATATGAGTTCAAGGTGGGGTGGAGAAGGCTCCCATATTTCTCTCCAAAATTTCTTTTTTTGGAGACAAAAGATTTCTATTTCTCAATCAGGGAAAGAAAGGCTTTCCTAACTGTAGGAACAAGCATACTGAAGTGAATGGGTTTCCCAATTTGGGGAAGGTATAAATGACACAAGGGACAACTGAGACACACGGCTTCCTTGTGAGAGGGAACAGAAAGCAGGTACTTTTAAAGAGTAAGATGTCCTACACCTCTCACTTTCCACACATCTTCAACATCACAACAGACATTTTAGGATGCACCATATCATCACATTTTACACACACACACACATACACACACACACAGCTGTAATTTGAAGGAATTATGTTGTTTATTTAAAATTATTTTGCTAGTCAATTATTTAGCTATGATATGATTCCTGGCAAATCACTGTGCATATCATGAGGTATTTTTATTTTTATTTTTATTTATTTAAAAAAAATTTTTTTTTCAACGTTTCTTTATTTTTGGGACAGAGAGAGACAGAGCATGAACGGGGGAGGGGCAGAGAGAGAGGGAGACACAGAATCGGAAACAGGCTCCAGGCTCCGAGCCATCAGCCCAGAGCCTGACGCGGGGCTCGAACTCCCGGACCGTGAGATCGTGACCTGGCTGAAGTCGGACGCTTAACCGACTGCGCCACCCAGGCGCCCCTCATGAGGTATTTTTAATATTTAATTATTTTTGAGAGAGAGAGAGAGAAAGAGCATGAGTAGGGGACGGGCAGAGAGAGAGGGAGACACAGAATCTGAAGCGGGCTCCAGGCTCTGAGCTGTCAGCACAGAGCCCAATGCGGGGCTCAAACTGACAAACCGTGAGATCATGACCTGCGCCGAAGTTGGACGCTTAGCCAACTATGAGTTTTTTTGTTTTGAAGTGAGAAAATCTAATTAACAAATTATTTTTAAGGGTCAATGACAGTTTTATGAATACTAAATTTGAAGTTAATGAAGTTGACAGAATGTTATTAATTTCAGTTTTGTAGTTTTTTCATATTTTGAAGCCTATACTTTTTTTTCAGTTTTCAAATGTTTTCATAAGTCTTTGGCAGTGTGCCAGGGGTTTCTAATGACTAAATCGCCCTGGGATAAAGTGGAGGTGAGGAAACACTTTAGACTACTTGCTTACTTTCATCATTATACCAAGGGTACCAAGGGCTTAGCTGTATCAGGCAGGTCTAATATGACAGTGTATCCCAACTGCTTTGCATAAACTAAAAACTAATCCTTTAATGCTAAATTCTGCATTATATGTTCCTCGATATGACCTTCTGAGTTTCAGTCCTTTCTTGATTCAATCATTTGCACTTTCATTTCATTTCCAGAATATTGGCTTCATACTTCTACTTCATACTTCTTTTTCTATGGGCACATATTCTACTTCATGAATTCTATTTCTGTGAGCATATATTATCATTTGATGGCATACATTTATTTGTTCATTTCTTCATTTGGCTACCTAACTGTATTACAAGAGAGATATGGTGCTAGGTACTCCATCAAATTTACTGAGGAAGTTGGACCTGATAGATATTACCTTCCTGGGCAAGGCAGATGGGCTCTCCTGTATCACTAAGAAAACAGAGACCATCAAGTAAGAACTTCAACTTCTCTCTCTCATGCCAAAATCTTATCTGTGTCCATTCCCATCTCACTTGTATTTTAATTTTAATGGAAATTAAATGGAAATACTCCTCAGATCACTCCTTAAATACTAATGTTTCTAAGAGCTCAGGCCATCTTTTTCATTATTCCATATTTTCTTCAGGATGACCACCCAAACTCCTGGCTTCATCTACCACCATCTACTTTCACACGAAAATCTCTCTTTCGAGTTCCAAACCTATGTTCCTAGCTCAACCCAGATTTCCTACAGGTAACCCAAATTAATCTAAAAGCAAACTTGTCCACACCTTTCCTCTTCTTCAGTCAAAAGTCTCTTCCAACCTTTATTATCACATAGTTATCTCTTAGGCACCCAGCCCATAAACTTAGGCATTGTAATGGTTCTCAATCCTTCTCAATGACAAATGAATTCAGAAACTTCTAAGGAATCCAGATTTCCAGTTGTCACCCAGTCCTGCTAAGTCAGAATTTATGGAGCTGAAGGTGCGGAATCTGTTTTTTAAAGCTATTCTAATGCAGCTATTCCCCAAAACAGGATTTGGTCACCACTCTTCTGGAAAACTCCTTCTTATCCCCTCCCTAAACATACACAATCACTTTATCTTGTATATGCTACATCCTACATATCTTCTCAGTTTTTCTTCTCTTACCATTCACATTGCTACTGCCTCGGTTTAGGGTTCCATCATTTGATGCCTGGATTATTGCCATAGTTTTCAAAATATGTCTATACATTTGATCCATCCTATCCTCCATTCTATCCTTCACATTTGTCTGACTTATTTTCTCAAGAAAACACACACACACACACACACACACACACACACACACACACACACACACCTCTCCCTGATGAAAGCTTCAATCTATCCCTACTGCTTTCAGGACAAAGGGTCAAGCTCCTTGATACATCATGTGCGAATCATAGTTTGGCCTCTAAGTGTTTAACTCCATCTGCTCCTTCCTCATGTATACTTGATACCCCAGTCCTAATGGACTGTGGCACCTAATGAACAGTACCTCCAATGTGTTGTATCCTCTTTTACTTGTTGCTTGGCTCTTGCTGTTTCCTCTACCATGTTGTTCTTCCATTTCCTATATTTCTAAGTTCTATTCATCCTTCAAGACCCAAACAAATAACACCTCTGCAGGGAAGCCTTCTCTGGTACACTGATTTAAATGTCCAATGTCTGTGCTCACATAATATCCTATATATACTGCTATCCAAGTACTTATCACTCTCTATTAAACCATTTGATATCCTTATTTTATTCCTCCTCTAGGCTATGTGTTTCTTGAAAGCAGGAACCATGTGTAATTCATCTTTGTATCCCTATTGCCTAAAAATCTGAATGAATTAGCCATCAGCCATAATGGAAATGGACAACTATAAATGTTATGACAGTTTTAGCTAGCATTTACATTTATGAGTTTGCATAAATAATTGTCCAAATCTTGTTGAGGTTCTTCTAGATCAAGCCATAGCATTAAAAAATATTACTTTTTCTCCCACCTTCAAGCTTAGAAACGCAGCATAGTATTTTGGTTAAGAACATAAACTCTGGAGTCAGACTGCCTGGGTTTGAATCCTTGGCTCTGCTACTTATAAGCTGTGTGACTGTAGGTTAATTGCTTAACTTCTCTGTGTCGCCCAATTGGTAAAATGGAAGTAATGCAAATACCTACTTCATGGGACTGTTACAGGTCCAATTGAATGAATATAAGTGACATATAAGTGTTTGGTAAATAAAATAAGTAGATACAAGTAATGAGGCACTTACCTATTAGGGATAAGATGTGTGAGATACTTATAAATCCTGCAAAATCCATATTCTCCATCTCCATACCATTTCATTTTTTTTCTGCCATACCTGCCATCATGCAATCACCAATGGTCTCCATATGTCTAATTGCCTGCTTGCTTCTTCCACAGTATTCTTCTTTAACTTTACTTACACTAACCCCTTGGGTCTTGGTAAACAACAAGACTTTATTCAGCAATTCAGTATCTTCTATTTTAATCTGGCAATTCTGTATCTTCTGTTTCAATCCAGCAATTCAGTATCTTCTGTATTGTATCATATGCTTATCTTGTTTCCTTTCTTTCTCTAATTTTTTCATAGTTTTGTTCTCAATTTTCTATTAAATTCTTATTCGGAGTTCAGTGAGAAGAAACTAAAGCTCACTTTCCTGTAAAGCACAAGTGTAAGCCTTAAAAATATGGTAAGTATTTAGGGAAAAATCCTGATGAACATTACTATGTCTCCATACTAGAGACTCATCAAAAATGCCAAATTAGTTTGTACTCAAGGAAATAGATCTAATCATCCCCCTTTCAACCAACACATTAACTGGGTTGGGAGAGATGATCTCACTTCTTAAATATATACAGATACATCTGAAGTGTTCTTATATGTACTTACACTTGTGAGGAAATGCTCTCTTCTAGAATGTAGGGATCTTATGTGGTCACAGAAGCCTAACTCACAGAATCTTGGGGGTAGAACAGGTCAGTAGTCTCTCACAAGATTTTATGAACCATGAGGCAACATTGATCCCAACTGGACAAGACTTTTCTGATTCTTGCTTTTATTTCACTGTCATTGTCTTCCCCAGGCCTTCAGATTTCACTCTTCCTTCAGGTGATTACTGCACTATACAGCCCCTAATTTTTCTACCCCAATCTTCCTCTTCATCCCTCAAATACTGATTTTTCACAGTTCCATAAGAACTGTATTTTTGATGATACTGAATTGTTGACCAAGTCCAGCTCCACAAACCTTAACTAGCTCCCCATTACCTGCAGAATAGCATGCAAGCTCTTTTTAGATGACATATGAAATGTTTCAGAAAAAAGCAGTCCAGGCTTTGGCTCAAGCAACCTTTGGAATTAATCTCCCACCACATCCGATCTTCTGCCAAACTCTACAACTCCTATTCCCTGGACACACCCTGCCTTTTCCCCAAGCGTGTTTTTTCCTCATGCATTTCCTTTCCCTGGCAATGTTCTCTCATGTCTTCCAGTCAAAAGACTATTCTTTATCAGATCCTAGTATGAAAGCTACCTCTTTGGTGAAACTTTCCTTGATATCCTCACACGCCTTGTCTTGGTGATAGTCTCTTCCTCACATGTGCTCCTATAAGTACTTTGTCTTTCACCACAGAATTTGGTATACTGCGCTACAGAAATTCACTCTTTGACAGATCACTTCCGCAATGTATTGAAACTCATCTAAAACAATGCTTACCCACTTCTGAATCTCAGCACCAGGCAAAGAATTTTACACCTAACTGAGATCTGAAAACTCCAATTTAATTTGGAGATGTCTCTGACAATATCATTTTATGGGGAGTAATCCCAGTTTATCTGTAATAGATGATGTTGATTCGGGATGATTTACTGCAGGATGAAACACAAAGTTGAGAAAATGGTTATAAAATGTGGCTCTTTCAAATCTAAATTCAGTAAAATTATTTTCAAAGGAAACTTGGATTTATGTTCTTAATTACTGGCTCAATAATGACAGTTTTTGCAAAAGAACACAATGAGACAGTGAACTTGCCAACTAGGGCAGAACGAAATTCCCAGTCACTCCTGCAGTAAATCTCCCACGGATCTCACTGTGAAGACTTGGCTGCATAATGAACAATTTCAAGGTTGTAGGGCCAATGTTATAAGCACATCAGAGGCTGAGTCACACTAAGAATAATGACATCAAACTAAAAAGTTACTTTGAAGAGCACTACTTCATTTTTAACAGCACCTTTGGGACTAAAAAAATTTCAAAAAGAAAACACACAAAAACCCCCAATTTAATAACTACCAACATAATAGGCTCTGCTAAGCAGTCTTCATCATCAAGTTCCAAATGTCTCCTATTAAAGGAAGAGCTCAAGAAAACCAAAAGATGCTCCAACTCATCAACCAAAGACAGGACTGAGTAATTATCTAGAAAATGGAGGCTTAAATTAAAATTTACTTCCATTATCTGGTTTCATCAGTTCAAACATTTACTCCTTGAAAACAAGGCCTCTGTCTTACACTTTTATCTTACACATTCACTAAACACTGTATTGAGCACATAGTAAGCACTCACTGTTCAATATTACATTTTACTTAATAATGAAATAACAGTCTGAATTTCTCCACCTCATATTCCAAGTATGGACACCAGGAAATCCTTTTCTTTAAGTCTAAAATATCAATAAATAGCCCACATTATGGGCTGAATTATGTCTCACCAAAATCCTAGGTGGAAGCACTATCTCCCAGTACCTCAGAATGTGGCTGTTTTTGGAAACAGGGCCTTTATTTTAAGAGGTAACTAAGCAAAAATCAGGTCATTAGACTGGGACTTAATCCATTTGACTTGTGTCATGTAAGAAGAAGAGATAAGGACACAGACATCATGTACAGAGGAAAGTCCATGTGAGGACACATCAAGGCAGCCATCCCCAAGCCAAAGAAAGAGGCCCAAGAAGAAACGAACCCTGTAGGCACCTTGATCTTGACCTTCCAGCCTCCAGAGCTATGAGAAATAAATTTCTGTTGGTTAAGCCTCCCAGTCTGTGGCATTTTAAAAACTTTTTAAATGGTTATTTATTTTTGAGAGAGAGAGAGAGAGAGAGAGAGAGAGAGAGAGAGAGAGAGAGAGAGCATATGCACAAGTGGGGGAGGGACAGAGAGAGAAGAAGATACAGAATCCAAAGCAGGGTCCAGGCTCTGAGCACAGAGCCCGATGCAGGGCTCAAACTCAGGAACTGCAAGATTATGACCTGAGCCAAAGTCAGACACTTAATGACTGAGCCACCCAGGCGCCCCGGTGGCATTTCGTTATGGCAGCCCTGGTAAACTAATACAGCCCACAAATTATGAGTACTGAGTTTAAAATTCACTATCAGAAGATTTAACTATTAAACCTGGCCCATGTGCTTAGATCTAATTACCACACATTTTCTTGTCTCCTTTTTGTTTTTTCAAAAAATGTAATGTTTATTGTTTATTCTTGTCTCCTTTTTGTTATGAGAGAGGGAGAGAGAATTTACTCTTCATTTTCAAACTTTACTAAAATTTGCCTGTCACCAACTTGAGGATGGATAGGAAGCTTCAAAGGAAATACACCAAGGAAGTTTTAAAAGTATGATGTATAGACTCTGGGGAGTATTGTGAGCAACTGATCAGATAACAATTGGAGGAATCTCCAAATTCCACAATTATTGCAAGAGTGATCAACTCCTACCAGCCCATTCCAGGTTGGTTCTGTCTGGCCAGTTTGAAATGCACCAATTAGGCCACCTCAAGCCAGCTCACACCTTGCGCCCACCCCATCCCACTCCCTCTCACCCCCTCCCCAGGGTCACCTTCCAGGTGGCAACTCTACTCCCTTGGCCTGCTCTGGTGGAGGGGGGGGTGGGCAGCTAGAAAATAAGCACACCAACTCAAAGGCTCTATGCTTTTCTTCTAAAGGGAAGTCAAAACTAGGGGGGGAAAGAGGAAGATCCTTAAAAGTAAGCATAGAAGAGGCAGAGGTTGTTTTCAAGAAACCTGGAAGAGCCCCAGACTGGCCTCCCACCTCCATCCCAGACTCACCTGAGAAACCCTGGTGGGAGCAACCCACCAGCCCTGCTTTATACATGCCCCTTTGCGCATTTGCTCAATCTCTCTCCCCAACCAGATGTGGCTGGAGATAGTTCCACCAACTGGGAGGACAAAAAGAGCCTAAGATTTAATAAAACTATGTCTTTCCTATTTCATTTCCCATCACTACACAAATTTTAATTTCCAGTCTGTCAATACCTCTGCCTGTTCTTCTTTCTTTCTCTTCTGGTTCTGATAGTCATTTTCTCCCCACCCAGTCACCTCCAGCCCTATTACAAAACATCCTGTGTCCATGGAAAGTTTCCAGAACTCTCCATACCTTGAAAAGGTCAGCTTTCTCTCTCCAGAGAGAGGTTTCACCCACATACTTACGTCACTAAAAGTGAAAGTGACTCACCAAATATCACGGAGATAGAAACAATTATGCTGAAAGATCAGAAGGAGAAAGAAGTTACAGAAAAGATCAAGTATAAAAGGATTGGGAGTAGTGGCTTTTCTTTTCTTTTTTTGTTTCTTCTTTTTTTACTTTCCTGGAAACACAGAATTCTGAAAAGAAGCTTAAAACTTCTTCCATACAGCTTACAGGTCTGAGTGAAGTCAACAGCCTGTATTTGAACATTTGTGAAAGGCTGCTATCATTACTTATGGCATTAAAAAACAAAACAAAACATTCTTATTCCTAAAATCAAGAAACTACCCATGTGATTAGTAAGATCACACTTCACCCTTGTATTTTATAAGTTGGATAGCAGGTTTGGACACCCCACCACTCCACTCCCATACATACACCATTCACACACACATACCATAGAATCATAACTTTAAAACAAATGACTTTATTTTTTTCCCCTTTTTTTTTCATTTAAATTTTAGTTAATATATGGTACAATATTGGTTTCAGGAGTAAAATTCAGTGAATCATCACTTACATAAACACCCAGTGCTCATCACAACAAGTGCCCTCCTTAATGTCCATCACCCATTTAGCCCATTCCCCACTCACCTCTCCTCCATCAACTCTCAGTTTGTTCTCTATCTTTAAGAGTCCCTTGTGGTTTGTTTTCCCTCTCTTCTCTTTTTTCTCCCCCTTCTCATATGTTCATCTGTTTTGTTTCTTAAAATCCACACATGAGTGAAATCATATGGTATTTGTCTTTCTCTGATTGACTTATTTCGCTTAGCATAATACATCCTAGCTCCATCCATGGCATTGCAAATGGCAAGATTTCGTTCTTTTTGATGGGTGAGTAATATTCCATTATATATGTGTGTGTATATATGTATATATATATATACACACACACATATACATACATACACACATATATATATATACATATATATGTATATATATATATATATACCATATCTTCTTTATCCATTCAATGGACATTTGGGCTCTCTCTCTCTGTAGTATGGCTATTGTTGATAATGCTGCTATAAATATTGGGGTACATGGTACTCCATCGAATCTATATTTTTATATCCTTTGGGTAAATACTTAATAGTGCAATTGCTAGATCATAGGGTAGTTCTAGTTATACTTTCTATTTTTACTTTGGTTTCCATACTGTTCTTCAGAGTGGCTGCACTAGTTTGCATTCCCACCAACAGTGCAAGAGGGTTCCCCTTTCTCCGCATCCTCGCCAACATCTGTTGTTTCTTGTGTTGTTAATTTTGGCCATTCTGACAGGTGTGAGGTGGTATTTCATCATAGTTTTGACTTGGATTTCCCTGATGATGAGTGATATTGAGTATCTTCTCATGTGTCTGTTAGCCATCTGGATGACTTCTTTGAA